TGGCCGGCTAGCACCCGCCCCCGGGCAACGCGTCATTTAAAAGACGTGAGGATAGCTTCCGGCCTAGGAGCCAATCAGCGGGCTGCTGCGCGGCCTAGGCGCCGGCAGTAAGCTCCGTTTCCGGCTTAGCATCAGGGTGTGGGAAGGGGCCGTCAGTGGGCGCCATGTCTGGCCGCGAAGGTAAGGCTGTTCGGGGTCGGGATCGATGGGCGGGGAGCAGGGAGGAGGGCGATGGAAGGTGGGGATGGGCCGAGCATGCTCGTGTCGCCCACAGGTGGCAAAAAGAAGCCCCTGAAACAGCCCAAGAAGCAGGCCAAGGAGATGGACGAGGTGAGGACGGGCGCGGGGGCGCGGGCTGGCGGGAGCTGAGGGAATGGGCGACTGGCCTGGAGTGAACCTGCTCTGCCTCTCCGCAGGAGGATAAAGCTTTCAAGCAGAAACAAAAAGAGGAGCAGAAGAAACTCGAGGAGCTAAAAGCCAAGGCCGCGGGGAAGGGACCCCTGGGTGAGTGAGGGAGACATGTCGAGCCAGTGTGGGTGCGAGCGTCTGTCCCCGGGTCTGCAGCAGCAGTACGGAGGGGTGGAGGGGAAACGTGGCCAGGGAATAAAATCTCTGGCCTCGCAGTCTTTGGCTTCCAGGCCGTAGGGAAGCTACAGAACTGGAAACACAAAAATGTACTCCGGACAGATGAATACAGAAAAGTTTCTGGTTTTCGTCCAGTTTCTGGCTCCAAGTTAGAAGTTCGCTGCTGCTTTATAATTTGTTACGTTAGACCATAGGACTTTTTATTTATTTTTGGTTTAGTTTTTCGAGGCAAGATTTTACTGTGTGTGTTTGAAGCTGGTCCTTGAACTCGCTTTGGAGATCATGCTGGACTCGAACTCAGAGATTGGGCCTGCCTCTGCTTCCTGAGTGCTGGAATTAAAGACATGCACCACCATCGCCCGGCTAGACCATAGAACTTTTACTTGCTGCTTGCCTATCTACAATGTTAGTGAGTCCTGAGTCACCTTTGGGTGTGACTTGACTAAAAGATAAAAGTCCGGGCTCCTTAACATGTATTCCACTCTCAGGGTGCTGTTTTTATGTTTATTTGTGGCTATGCCTGGGAGCAAATTTATTTGTGCAAGGCGAACTCTCCCACCTGAGCCGTGCCCTATGCCCAATGCTCTCCACCTTGTTAATCTAATCTTACAGTTTGTCTCCTTGGAGTGAGTCACAGGCTCATCGGTCCTAATTCCGAATTTTAAAAACGCGTATCTTTGTGTTTTATGTGTATGAGAGTTTCTCGTGCGCATCTGTGAACCATGTATGTGCAATGCCCTGAGAGACCAGACAAGGGCTTCAGATCTCCTGGTAGTTACAGATGGTTGTGAGCTGGGAATCGAAGTCAGTTCCCCCAAAAGATCAGCCAGTGCTCTTAACTGCTAGGCTGTCATTCTCTCTCTCTCTGTCCCCCCCCGTCCCCGTCCCAGTCCCCGTCCCCCCCCCCCCCCCCCCCCTCCCGCCCGCACCCC